AATTAGGTCACCTATCAAATGAAGATCCTTACAACTGCATTGTTCTCCGTTATGCTCCTCAATCGCACGCTCTCAAGAACAAAGTGGATATCGCTGGTTATGCTGACATTTGGAATCGCCATTGTGCAAATGGACGGCAAAAAGACCGAGTCCGGCGCTGGAGGAATGGAAAAGCTTCTAGGTCTCGCTGCGGTGACGGTGGCTTGCGTTCTTTCCGGTCTCGCTGGCGTGTGGTTTGAGAAAGTATTGAAAGGCACACAAGCGTCTCTGTTCCTGCGCAATATGCAGCTGTGTCTGTTCAGCTTGATCCCTGGCCTCTTCTTTGGAGGTGAGTCATTTGCTGATATAGATCTTGATTGCTTTCTTGTTCTTTCCGTTCTTCAATGCTGACGATTCGTTCGGACTCTGTTCACGCTAGTTTTCATGATGGACGGTACGGCTGTACAAGAAGATGGGTTCTTCCAAGGCTACACGGCGTGGACGTGGGGTGCCATCTTGTGTCAAGCAATCGGCGGTCTCATCGTCGCCTTGGTAGTAAAGTGCGTTTGCCTTATCCCTACAGTCGCATGAGAGCATGGAAGTAACAAAGGTCCCTTACCTGTTCGTTTTTCCAGATACGCCGACAACATCCTCAAAGGCTTTGCAACCTCTTTATCCATCATTCTTTCCTCGATCGCATCGTTCTTCCTCTTCGATTTCCGACTCACCTTTCTGTTTACCATTGGATCTTCTGTAGTGTTATACGCAACTCACTTATACGGTAGGCATTGCGAATGCAGTAGCAACGATTATGAACGGCATGTGACGTGGGAAGGGACTGAACCATGTGAATTGTTGTTTCCTTGGCATTAGGCCTGCCTGAACGTCCCCAAGGTGCCAACCGCCTTCCTCCGAGCGATGAGGATAGAGAATCCTTGCCGAGATTCACAAATAGTCAATCGAACTCTACCGTGCGCCTCACTTGACGACGCGCGCCAACTACTGCCCCGACAGGCAAACATCTCGCGCATCCTCGCGCTACTCTAGAAGCAAAAGCTCTCCGACTCCCTATCCCTCGCCCTTTCCCCTTCCTCCTTTCAGGAACGGCTTTACATGCCCTATCCGCAGTTTTGTGTACCCTTTACCTCCGCCGCCTATTTATAATCGCGTGTAGTATATATATTTATTAATGCCCGGGATTTTTGGGTCAACCACGCTTTCGTTGGATGACTGAACCTTATCGGCCACCATTTCTCAAAAGTGGAGTTACAAGGTAGGAAAGCCCACCCGCCCAAGAGAAAATCCCCTCTTGAGGCAAACACAAAAAAAGGGGTGAGGTACACAGAATAATGATATGTACAGAAACAAACGGGGGGGTTGGTGGCCTGAGTGCAACAACAGCCGAGGAGGGGGATCAAGACGAAAAGGAGCCGTTCCAGATATTTCCCAAAAAAAAAGCACAAAACGGTAAAAGAATTCAACAGAAGGCGGGGGAGGGGCAGCAGCGTCTGGGCCTGATGGCAAGGGAGGGATCGGACGATTTTATCTGGGCGTTGCCAGGCGGGGTATAATTGGAGTGCCCATGTGGGTGTGTGTTCACAGGGAGCACGCACAAGAAGGTGGGTGGGCAAATAATTTGTTCTGGGTGCGCGCCAAAATTCGTAGCATATCCGAGGAGGAGGAAGGGGAATAGGTTTATGTTTCGACATTGTTCTTGCCCTACTCGTTCGTCTGGTCTCGTTGCCATACGCATTTCGAAATCAATTTTAATGTTCGTTTTTTCGATTGTTTCGTGGTGCATCACGGTTTCGTCCCTGCTGCAGCATATCCATCTCCATCTTCTTCAGCATCCTCGGCATCATCGTCGCTATGGTCGCGGGCAGGTGGTGACGGTGGGTCATTCCACGTCCGCGTATGGACCGCTTTGCAGAAATCCAAGACGATGGGTATTTCCTCCAATTCCAATTGGGTCGCGACAACGACATCGTCCGGAAACAGCGATGGTTTGCGGATGGCGGGGTCATGGATGGGCGGGTATTGCGACAGCGGGACGTGGCGATAAGGACGGTAGGTGCGTTGTCGTTTGTTGTTGGGGCGTTGGAAGATGTTGAATGGGTTGTTGGCGGCGGGATGGGTTGATGGAGGCGGGGTATGTGGTTCCGAGGAGAGCATGTCGGACCGACGCGCGGCGCGAGAGGCTTCGCGGATAATGAAGGCGAGACAATCGTCAATGGTCGCGTCGTGTTCCGAGATTTGGGCGAGGCATTCTTCGAGGTCGCGGTTGACGGTTTCGGAGAAAGCGAGTTTGGAGCGGAGCGCGCGGATCTGCGTTTCGAGGCGGGCGGTCGTGACGGCGGGGTCTTCATCTTCGACACTGCTGGTGGCGCCAGAGTCGGATTCGGAGGATGCTGATGTGGAGGTGGAGGAGGATGCGCCGGAGAGGTCTTCTTTCTTCTTCCTTTTGTCATTGTTTTTCTTACCGTCCTTGCCGTCCTTCTTGCCTTTGCAGCCCGGGGTTGCTGCGGCTGCGACGGTGGTGGCGCTGTCTGCTCTCACAATCGCGGAACCGGCAGATTTCTTGTCGGGCTTTGTTGCGGATGGCTTTGGTTTGGGGCCTGCGGTCAGGGTCGGATTGATGGTGATGTCATGGGACGGTAGGCCGATCATTTTCTTGGACGCCTTTTTTGATTTCGGTTTTGAATCTTTTGAGGTGGTGGTGGTCGGTGCCGACGGTTGAGCCTTGGAGCTGATGCTGTTGCTGTCGTTGTTGTCTTTGCTGCTGCCAGTTCCTGGAGAGATGGCAGCAATAACGGCAATCGGTTTGATGGCTCCAAAGGTGCGATCGCTGGGTAGGACTAGCTTGGGATGCGGGCGATGCGCAAGCTTCTTGCCCCCGCTGATGTTCGCATTCAAGGATGAGCTAGCCGCAGCAACTGTGGCAGCATTCGGCGGAGTGGCACCCGGCGGCGTAGCAGAAGCACTAGATATTGCACCTGCAGGCCGAGGTCGGCTGAGGATGACTCTGCCTTCCGCATTGCGCTCCGTCCTGTGCGGTGGTCTACCTACGGGCGTGGTGGGGGCTGCTTGCTCCTTTGTCGTGTCCTTTTTTGCCGGGTCCTTTTTGAGTGGGCGCGATGATGATGTTGACCTTGGGCGCGGCGGGGATATCGAGGAGGCAGACGCAATCCGATCTCCCCACGAGTCTGCAGGGTGATCAGCCGAATCATTGGCTGCGGTGCCGTGGGGTGCGTCGGCAGAGAGCATGTGCTTGATCCCGCACGAATTGCAGAGGGTTCCGGGTCCTTTGGGTCCGCGTCGCCACATGGAGGTTGCGCGAACGCCGCAGACGTGGCAACGGTGTTCCACGTTGGGCAAGTCCGAACCGCCGGTAGATTGGCGGGACCGCGACGGGGTTGCATTGCGAGACGTTCGTGACGTTGGCGCTGTTGACCTGTCTTCATGGTCTGGACTGTGTCGGTTGGGATCCATCATCATGCGTCCGTTTTCAAACTCGCTACGTCTGGCATTCCACAATTCGACAGTGTGCTGTCGCCGTCGCTTTGTTCCCGGCATGGCCGCCGTCTCCTCGTCATCAGTCCAATCGCTAGGAGGCAACATTGCGTCCTCGTCGGCTTCTTCATGTCCGTCAAGTGAAGCAGTTTGGCGGCCAACCGATCGGGTGACGTGCGGTTCCATATGAGCGCCCGACCGGCGAATGACGCGGTCTCCCGATGATTGCTGCTGATGCTGGTGCTGCGAACCGTTGTTGCTTCCACCGCCCGGCTCTGCGGTTGGCGATATGTCGTGGTGCATGTTGGTGTTATTTGACTCTGCCGTCGTCGGCGGCGTTGTCGAACGTCCGTTGGTGCCTGGTATTTCGACTGGTTCGGGAAAAGTATACGGTTTATTCTGAAGGTGGTGTTGTCCATATAGATACTGATACGGAGATTGATGTGGCTGAGATGGTTCCAGATGATGTTGATTTCCGTATGGTCCGCTGGGCTGATATGGGTAGGGATACGCTGTGAGGTTCGGATACGCATAAGTTTCAGGGTACGAGCTCGGTTGCTCGGGTTGCTGCTGGTGCAGCGGCTGCGGCGGGTGCGGTGATGCTGTATTGGGAAGCACCGGTGATAGCGGTTGCGGGCGCGCTTGCGGCTGCGGTTGCGGTTGTGGTGGAGAAGGTGGGCGTTGGGAGTACTGGTAGTTGGCGTACGACATTGCCATTCCGCGCACGCTCGCTCGAGGTTTGGGTCGGACGTGAATAGTTAAACCTCAAGTAGAAGAGGTTGACCTGAGGCAGACGAGCAATCTTTTTCGGCCTCTTTGATGCGGAAGATACTCAGGAAGCGGGTGGCGAGCGAGCAGGGGAGTGTGTGTATAGCTTCCGAGGATTGACAGTTTTTGCAGATGGCGTGCAGGGGGAGCGGTATACTGTCAGTTTGGGGCATTCACCCGCGGAAGTGGCACTGTAGCGAGGAGTACAGACGACTAGGAGCAGAAAACCAAATACAGCACTGCGCCCCAGGGTAGCAGGGTGGGAAGGAATGGCAATGAGCTCGTTGACGGAACTGACTGGGTGATTGATTGACAGCAGGTCACAGGGGGTGTGTTTTTGACAGCACTATCGAATTATTTATTGATTTGACCGCGCGTTTTGGAAAAGCGATCCGCTTTTCCTTTTGGCTTTTTCTTTTTGTTCCTGATACAGACATAGCTTCATAAAAATACACATCAACCATTAACGAACTAATTTCACCTCTGCATCTGAGCACTGTTGTGCTGAATCAGCTAAAGTGCTTGCAGTCTTCGTAGGTGCTGTGATTCACCTGAGAGATGAAAACAGGAGGGATCGACGGATCTAGGTTTGGATGAGAAACCGACTCGGACCGTTAGATCGCTCACCGATCGGGAACGCATACGCGCAACCCCGCTTGCCAAAAGTGAAGTATGTACGCTCATGATGAGATGGAGCCGCAGAGTCATTCATATGAGCATCGCTCCGGGCAAAAATATATTTGCGACAGCTGCAGGATTCGAACCTGCGCTCCCAAAGGGAACGTGATTTCAAGTCACGCGCGATCGACCACTCCGCCAAGCTGTCCTGCTTGAAAATAAAGGATGTTTGTAGCTGATATTCATGTTTGTAACTATGATGGTAATGTTTCTCGAAGACATAGGAAGGAAGTGGGAAAGGGCGAGAGATCCCATATCTTGATCCAACGCGTGGCAAGACTGGAGTGAGCGTTGCGGAGTGACATATGTCAAAGGTTATATTAAATATCCTTTCGCCAGGGGGCGCGCAAATTCGTTTTAGACATCTGGCATTTATTTTCACCATCGTCAATTGACCAATTTCACGCAAACTACAAATTGAGATCACCAGAACCGTCCTCCCCATCGGAGTTGCCACAGTGTTCACACCATTACCATCTCGCCATTTCACCATTTCGCAGTCTCAGATTCAGTGAGGGCTTGGTGCATGACTGACTTGATGATTTTCTCCCTTATGTCATTGGGAATGCGGTTGTTGCGGCGGGGATTGCGTTCTCGTGGTTTTCGAAAGCAAGCCGCCTTTGCGTGAAGTCATACCTTTGTTTAATTTTATTTGTGCGAGGGTGATGTCAATCGTCCATCAGGATAGCTTCAACATGCTTCCCCCTTTTGGAAGCAGGACAGCTTGGCGGAGTGGCCCTCGGCGGAGTTGGGTTGTGATATCTCGAAGGGCTGGGGTTCGGCGGTGGGGATGCTGTGATATCTCGAAGGGTTTGTGGTCCGCGGAGTTGGGTTGTGATATCTCGAAGGGTTTGTGGTCCGCGGTGAGGGGTTGTGATCTGTCGGGGCGCCCGCATACGTAGCTCGGCGGGATTGTGACCTCTAAGCTTAACCAAATTAGGTTTAATCCTAATAAAATTATAGCCCCCTATCACAAAGAGTGGTAACACAATAAATCGAAGCCTATAAAGCAGCCCTGGATAAAAACTAGACATAAGATAAATTAATGTAAGGTATAATCACAACCCACTTTAGGTATATAAATATTAATGTTGGGTTCTATTCCCTTTAGTTACTTGAGCGGGAGGGTGCTTACGAGTTGTTTAAGTATAGCTCGTAGCCCGAGGGTGAAGCTTTGTCAGGTCTATTTGTTTGCTGGTACAGCTGTTGGCATTAGTTATAGCTCTTATTAATTTCCCAGGTTTCTATCAACGGCAAGGTCTTTGCTGTCCTTTACGGTTTCTACCCTTAACCCGCTTCGCTTACGGCCTTTAGGCACATAATGTTTAGGATGTTAGGTTAGTAGGACCTAAGGTGTAATAACCCAAAAAGAGAGTATTGTTCTAGAAGCAGTCCTAGATTTACAATGCTCAGATTCCGAAGACAAAAGGGCAGCCTGTTCTTCAGAGATCCAAGGGCCGGTGTTGGACTTGAAATCATCAGAAACCACGTTCCCTTTGGGAGCGCAGGTTCGAACCCTGCAGCTGTCGCATATCTTTTTGCTCCTCTGGAGGACGATGCTGATTTAGCAGGCTCTATCGACATCTCAGCTTCCTCCACAATCTTCTTCTTAAAGATCAAGGTCAGAAGCAATGTTAAACAGCCTTCCGCAAAGGGTAACGCCCCATTTGGTTTGAATGCGAATAGCTGCTTCGACAGCACATACGCAAGAGCAGAAACTCCCTTGAGGCAGGACGTCAAACGCCTTGACCTTTTATCATCTCCGCCAAGCTGTCCATGTAATTCATGTCGATTCGTGCCCAATGTTGTTCATAGCAATCCGTACATCATTGTTGATTGAGTCAGAGTCTATCAAAAAGCAGGTTGTAGCGGAGCCTATCCTCGCAAACAATACAGGTCCCTCCCTCGTCCAATCAGCTTACTGTACGACAGTGGTATATAAATAATGTAGAACAAAAACAACAGATACAGATGTCTGAAAGTAAGGTACAAACAGGGCCCATAATGCTAGAATAACTGCTCAGCCCGCCTTTGAATCAGTGCGGTTGTGACGGACATCGTTTGGCGAGGCATTAAACGTGCCGCCGTGTGACACGTCGGACCTTCAGAGGCAAAGGAATGATGTCAAGTCTTCGCCCAGTTCGGTGGCAACTTGATTGTATAAAGACCTACCGGAATGCGATCCCCTTCATCGCTATCACTCTCTGGTTCCGCATCAGGCTTATCTTTAGCTGTACGCCGCAGTTTCTGGGAGGAGGAGCAAGTGCGGGTGAGCAACGAGAACCAAACTGAAAAGGGCGATCCCAAGCACGAAAAGCGACGTTCAACATACCCTTTTCGCAGGGGGAGTCGCAGGAGCAGCGCCTTCATCACTCGCGACAATCCCACTGTCCTTCTTTTTGGCGGGAGACGCTACCGCTCTCTTGGCAGGTCTGCCGCGTTTCCGTTTCCCGGGTTCCGCGGATGGTACAGAGATTCCTTCCTCGTCTGCAGTTTCGGTGGTAGTGGTGCGGGATGATGGCGGTGGGACTGGTGATGATGGCGTGATGGGGGATGTGGGGAACCGAGTTGATGAAGCTGGGCTGACAGAAACCGTTCTCTCGCTTGTTGGTCGGGAGCGGCTAGAGAGAGGTTCATCGTCCTCCTGATCACTGTCGCCATCATGGCCGACTTCCTCCTCGGGAGGGGTTGGCACCTCATTCATTTTCCGCGACCTGGAGGTGCGAGACGATGTCGTAACCGCGGGAGTCTGTCCAAAAGCGCTGGTATTGCTGCCTTTTCGACTGGTTCTTCCAGAGCGCGCTATCGTCTTGTTCTCTTTTTCCCCATCCCTGTCTTCCCGAGAGCTTGCCGCCGCTGATTTTACTGCTGTTGCCTTTTGTCTGCGCCGCCGAGCCGTGAGACCATGTGACTCGCTAGTTACCGGTTGAGCATCGGCATCGCTTGCACCCTCTTGATCGTCATCCTCTTCCTCACTATCTGACTCTACCACCTTCTCTGGCCGAGCGTCCTCCTCAGGCTCCTCATCAGCTTCTTCATCCGACATTTCTTTGAAAGTCTGCGTTTTCCGTGCACTGCGTGGCGCATTCTTCCGTTGCGGTGTCTCAACAGGCAGGGGGCGTGTCGATCGCTCGTCTTGGTCACTTTCATCGTCATCATCATCCTGCGCGCTCTTTCGACGCTTGCGCGCTGAACTCGCCGAGGTCGCTTTTGGTCGACCTTTGCGCTTTGCACCGGGAGTCATGCTGCCATCCTCTGCACCTCGACCCTCATCATCCGTCACATCGGGCGTAGATGTCGCAGAGGCATTGGCTTTGACAACAGCGAGTTTGGCAGCTGTGGCAGGATCCCGTTTGCCAGACTTGGATCTGTTGCCGTGTGGGCCAGATGCGGCATTCTTTGCCCGGAGATCCACCAATGCCTGGGGAAGGTAGCTTTTCCGGGCAACTTCCGCCATGCTGCGATCAGACAGCTTGCCGAATAGGTCCTTGGGAAGACGAACGGATCCTTGGTACGACGGCAAACTCCAGCCAGCTTGATTGGCCTTTTCTTGAATGACCAATTGTGCCAGATCGCTGAGAACGTACAGGTTATCCGATCGCTCTGCATGAAGGTCGCGCATCGTCTTGAGCTTGGCAGCCATGTGATACAGGAACGATGCGTTCTCGGCTGTCGCAACAACGTCGAGGAAAAACCCAATATAGACTGCAAACACCACCAAAACCTCGGCGTCCAATGAAAAGTCTGGGTGATGGGCAAGCAGGTGCAAGAAACGAGCCAGTGTGTGCTCCAGCATTGGTGCATGACTGTCCTGTTCCGTCCGTTGCTGTTTGATGCGGCGAATCAAGAAATTCTTGACTTTGTTGCGAAGTTCCAGCTCAAGTTCATGCGCTGCCAGCATCAAGATAACGTGATATTCAAACGGCACTGCCTTGTTGGACAGATACAGCACCAGCTTCTCGATGATTTTGTTTCGAACGTGATAGATGGTATCCTGCATCACGAGACCCAGCTTGTGAACGTCGGCGAAAGTGAGCATTGCAGCATAGGTAGGGCAGCGAGCGAGTTTCAGTAGAGAGACTCCAGCGATGAGGCGGAGATGGGTTTGAACTGCTGGTGGCGTGGTCCTCTCTGCGACAATCTCTCCGTCGTACTCGATGAGTCTCCGAAGAAGTTTCATCACGGGCACCGCAGAATCCACGTTGCTTTCGGATGCGATGGCGACCAGCCGCTTGACGAGGATCCGGATGCCCATCACCTTCATGACTCCCTCTGGCTCGAGCTCTTCATACTCGACCCAATCAATGTCGCCGACCTGTCTTTTTCGGCGATTTACAAACAGCAGGTCTTTGACGACAAAGTTTGTGACGGCAGGATAGTGCGCTTCGAATAGCACCGGCGTGTCTTGGGCAAGCTGCGCTAGGGCAGCGAGATGAGTGATCAAACTCTGGTTGTCAAAGGACAGGTTCTGCATTATGATCTCTAAAACCTCGCCGCAAGTTCTCAACGAATCGTCTCTCATGTGCGCAAGAACGGCGATGGCATTCTTTGCTTGTGCTGGCGTTCCTTCAAGGGCAAACTTTTTCAGCCTCTCCTTGGATTCGCTGTCTCGCGGAGCCTCTTCGGGAAATACTCGTGCAAAACGAGCAAGAGCTTCTAACGAGTCGGCCACAAGCGTGTCATCTGGGCTATGGAGCAACTCTTTGAATTGCTCCAGGTTGCTGCGGTACAAAGCGGGGAAGACGGTGGAGATGTCCTTCAAAAGCTTCTCTGCTGTTTGTCCGAGTCGCATCGCCGTTTCATCTTTTGTCCGTCTTGATGTTTGAATCTTGTCGATGAGGATAGAGATGGAGCTTTTCGCAACGATCGTGAGGCTGATGCGGCGCAAAAGAATCGTAAAGGTCTCCATTACACCGGTTTGCTGCTCCAAACGCTTGATAAGCTCTTTGATGTTCTTTATCAGCGGCTTGTATTCGCTCTGAAAGTCCATGATACTCCGCAAGAGTTTGTAAGTTCGACCATCATTCGCTTTGGAGAACTTTTGGAGTTGTGCCTGGGCTTTTTTCGGATCCGGAAATCGTGCTGCAATGTAAGTGATGATTTGCAACAGGAGCTTCTCGGTTTCATCTGAACCAGTGTCCATAACGC